ACAAAAAAAAAATCCTCCATACAACCTTTAAGCTAAAGTAACAATAGTGAGGGGGGATACGTCTTACCCGTGTGTGTAAATAACGAGAAGAAACGGCTCAAACTTCAGTCGCCGGACATCCACTCATACCTGACCCATACACCTGTCCCCGCCCCCGAGAGAGTCTGAAATCTGCACGTGAAATTATATATTTTAATGTATAAGTCACACCTGAGTATAAGTCGCAGGAAACGGCCAAACCAGGAAAAAAATGCCACTTTTAATCCAAAAAACTCCGGTAATCTTGCAACCCCATTGAAGAAGAACTCTCATTATCTTATTAATTAATTTTTTTTACAGATTGTCCTCTTTCTTGCAGGCACAGATTCGCAGCAGGCTCTTTCTTTCCTCCGTAGTGATGATTTTAAACTTGGCTGGTGACCTCTGCCTTTCCAAAATAACTAGTCTGTATTCAGGAGGAGAGCCCCGTGTCAAGGTTAGCCATCTGTAGCAGTTTATCGGGCCTTATGGTTCAGTGTTTTCACACAGAGACAAACCCCCAAAGAGACACGCGCCGGGGAACGTACCGGACACATGCCACCGTCACGCTGATAAAAGCTACAACTATTTATCGCCCAACAAAGAGGGAAGGGATGCGTGAAGAATTACAATTAAATACAGAAGTTTCAAGTTTGAGCGTGAAAACTTAACTTGGATGGAGTTTTGAAAAGGACTTAAACCTCACGGGAGTTCGGAATGAAACTTTTGCTTAAGTCGTGTTATAATGTTTTTACCTCCTTAAAAAACAGAGCTGGACTTGTGTTTTGTTTCATTCACACGTGTTTCAGTAATTCTTTATTATTAATCTGTCTATGTCAAACGGGACTAAAACGGGACTAAAACAAGAATAAACCAAGACTAAAATGGGACTAAAACAGGACTAATCAGGTCCGGGACTAGACCAGGACTAGGACTGAGAGAGAGAGAACTGGAGAAAGACAAATGTAGAAAGAGAGACAGATGGTGAAAGAGAGGGAGCGATAGCGATGGAGAGAGATGGAGAAAGTGAGAGAGAGAGAGGGAGAGATAAAGAGAGAGATAGAGAGACACAGAGAGAGTTATAGAGCCAGATAGAGAGAAAGAGAGATAGATGGAGAGAGGTGGAAAGTTGGAGAGATAGAGGGGGATAGAGAGACAAATAGAGATAGAGGGATAGAGAGAGACTGACTGACCAAACTATTATCCATCCTGAGAAAAAGTTCATTTTTCAGGATCAACAATGAAACATAAAAATTTTAGTTTATAGAGAGATTTATAATAATTTTTAAAGAGACATTGAACGAATTTTGCTTAAGTCGTGTTATAATGTTTTTACCGCCTTAAAAACAGAGCTGGACTTGTGTTTTGTTTCATTCACACGTGTTTGAGTAATTCTTTATTATTAATCTGTCTACGTCAAGTTCAAAACATGCTCTGTTCCACCTTGTGATGTCATGAAGTGGTAGTTTTATAGTGAACAGCTCCTTTTCAGAGCTGGGTATCATTTAGAAGTCAGAGATACGATACAGACCTCGATTCAGTGAGCTTTCAGTTCGATATGATATTTCAAATCCATTCGATATACTTCAATAAAAAATGAAGGTTAAATCATGGTTTTGACACTAAAAGTCGTCTTTTAGTGTTTTTCACTTCTTGTGCCAAGTTCAAATGAAACACAAACATTTTAGATTTAGATTTATTTGTGGTCATTGTATGAAATACAACAAAACTTCGACAGAGCAAATCTGTAGCAGTAAAAATGAACAAATATAGACACATCCTCACATCCATACCGATAAAAAAAAATAAAAAAATAAAATACATTATTGCACTGAGTCCCTTCATGCCTTTTATCTGTGCCCCTGGAGCACGTCCACCTCTCGTGGGTAGAAGCTGTAGCTCAGCCTGTTTGTGCGTGTGAGGGGAGTTTGAAGCCTTCCTGAGGGGAGAGAACAGAAGAGGCAGTTCCCAGGGTGTGTGGGCTCCTGCAGAATGTTGGAGACGTGAAGAGAAGATGGTGGCCAGGTTCAGGAGTGTGGAGCCCACCACCCTCTAAGCTGTTCTCTCCACTCGCTGAGAACAGCTGAAAAAAATCATCAAAACAGTGAAAATGTCAAATGTGTCGCATAAGCGAGTTTCCTGGATGTCCCAGTATTTTAGTGGAGTATTTTAAAAGACATGCTACATTCACTAAACTGAGAGTTTCAGCTGCTTCCCTCTGGTCAGAGGCTTTTAGTCCCAAGATCTAGAATGTTTTAAAAGGAGCTTTATTCCAGCTGCTATCATACTTATGAATAAATTGTAATCTATTTATCTATCAATTTTAGTACCATATTTTCCGGGTCATTAGACGTGCTCGCCCCGACTTCGACTTCAGTAAACTACAAAGCCACACCACCCACAGAACACACAAACACACACAGAGCAGACAGCGACCGCACAGAGAAACACGCCCACAGACACTCATCACTCCACGCCGACGAGGAACGGAACGGAGGAACGAACCGAAAAAGCGAGCGCGATGTGCCGCTTCTAGACACGACTGAACAACTGAGTCACTGCGAACACGCCGACAATCCGTTGGTCCCAGACACACCCTCCCTACACGCCACAACTGAACAAAGCCCAGAGTCACCGTGAACGAACAAACAAACAAAACCACTCACCCATCACACTGTTGGGTTTCCTTTAAAGTCCCACGTGGTTTATTTGTGAAAAAGTTCAAAAATAGACCATTTAATAATGACAGTGCGCCTTATAATCCAGAGCGACTAATAGTGCGGAAAATACAGTATGTTGTCTTGGAAAAATGTGTTTTTATATATGTAATATTTATTTGGACTTTTTTCAAGCGTGATGGATGAATTTAACTAATTGTTTATGGAACAAACCATTCTGCGCTGGAGCAATTGTAAAACTGTATTTTGTTATTGTGTTTTTAAATGTGTTTATTGTTCATAATGTGGATGAATGAAATGTGAAATGTGGGACCAGCCTCTCAAATCTGCAAAAACAAATTTACCTACGGGTACAAGTAAAGTGACCAAACCTAACCTTCCTCTAAGCAAGCAACAAAACTGTAAAATATACAAAAAAATACTCTTGGTAATATATCGATACAGCAGCCTACGATATCGATACTGTATCATCACATTAAACAATACGATATTACGATATTTCAATATTTTTGCACACCTCTACTCCTTTTACCTTTTAGTTCAATAGAAATCGGAAATTTCAGAGTTGACCACATCCAAATGATTCTAGTGAAGGTGTGTGGAGTTTAAAAACACAGTGGAGCACTTTCTGTATTACCACCTGATGACATCACAAGGTCGAACAGAGTGTTTTCAGTTCAGTTGAGAGAAGAACTCAAAACCTAAAAATGTACAGGGTTTGTGTGTTAAAGCTGTTTTTTTTCTGGTGGAGGTTCTGTCACATACAAACGCTTTTCTTCATGGAGATGTTATTGCTTCGTCGGACCAAACCGGGCCGAGTTCCAGGTGAGATCTGCGGAGAGGCGCCCCCGCTCACAGTCAGAACGCCTGTTTTTCTAGGTATTTCTGAGCTGTAAAACCTGCACCTGTAATTGAATACGCGAAAAGTTACACGTGCGAATGAAACAAAACACAACTCCGGGTCTGTTTTTTTTTTTGACGCAGAAACAACATTATAACTCGGAAAAATCGCGTCGCACGTGCTCTTTAAACGGTAAAACGGTCCGCTCGGAGAGGTCAGGAGTCTAACCCACAACCTTGCGTTTTATTCTCCGTTTTGACAATAGCGTACTGGAGACCATTACTGAAGTCGGGGTCAAAACGGCTTTATTTTAATGGTCGGAAAGGCCGTCGCGGTTCAACTTGGAGCCTTGTTATCTGGTTCAGGATTTCCAACGGCTTTTACCAGTTTAAAGTGGGATCACACACACTCACACACACACACACACACACACTCTGCTGCCTTTATATTTCAAAGCGCTTTAACGAGTATAGCACGTTTTTTTTAATCTAATTGACTTCAGCGATGCCTACGTTTTGACCTTACTGAGTGACGGACAGGATGTAATGGTGGAAATTATGTTTTATTTAAAGTCTGTAACTGATTTTATTTAATTTTTTACTGTTTTTAATCAGTTTGCAGCGGTCCAAAGTTCTTCCTCACTCCGTTTATGCATTCAGAGCATCATAATTACTCGCCACGATGAGTTTATAAGAGCTTCACGCAAGGAAGAAACCACAGTGCAGCTTGATTTTATATTCATATGTTGATATATTCATGTATAGGCGAGTTTCAGCTGTTGTTATTAAAAGCCCGTGTTGCATGCTGGGAAATATTTTGGTCGGAGACAAGAAACACGGTAGCGTCAAACACAGTGCGTAACCTCGCGTATTTATCCCTGATAATGGTAAATTCCTGCTGCATTATCGGATGCACAAATAGAAGCACGGAAGAAGGAAAATGTCTTTTTCGTATTCTGAGTGAAAAGAACCACTAACGGAGAATTAAAAGGTTTTCAAACATCCGCAGAGCAAACGTAGAAGATCCTAACAAACCGTGGACTCCAACAAGTTCAACAACACATCGAGACTCTTGGAGGTTTTCATCTTTTCTGCTGTGAATGGCCCAGGAGTTTCCACCAAGTCATTGTGGATATCGCCCAAGTGAATATTTGTCCAGGTAGTTGGTGATTCTGACCAGAAATTTGGTTTGGTCCTTTTGTCGGGGTTGAAAAGGGTGATTTGGCTCCGTCGATGCTTATGACCAATTTCTGGTCAAATGGTCTTGTGTCCTCTGCCGTTAGAGTGGATAAATAACCGGGATCAATACCCTTTACGTGCTTTCTCGCTCCGTCCGTCATGTTGAATTAGTGTTTCTTGCCGCTGACCAAAATAAATGAAACTCTCCTCTTCAAACACAGATCAGAAAGTAACGTAACATGGGCTTTTATTGTAAACGTTCTGTTGTGTTTTGGTGTTTGACAGAAGCCGAGCTCGGTGCGGATCGACCAGTTGGACAGAGAACAGTTTAACCCCGAGGTCATCACCTTCCCCATCATCGTCCACTTTGGGATCAGACCTGCTCAACTCAGCTACGCAGGAGACCCGCAGTAAGAACAGACACAAACACTAATACAGTAAACCCCCAGTAAGATCATATTCACAATCATATTTACAATCATTTACATAAGCAGATAATATGAAATGACCAAACCTAAGTCTGTTCCATCACAGCAAAAAGTGGAGTTAAAATTGACTCTCACAGAATCAATTTTAACATTTTCTCAGAGTTTATATGAGTCCAATCTGTTCTAGAGTTAATTTAACATTTTTACATCATGTTAATGAAGTAACACTGGACCAAAGTTCCTGAAAGCGAGGGTGCGATGGGGCGGGGTAGAAAGCGAGGGTGCGGGGCAGAAAGCGAGGGTGCGGGGCAGAAAGTGAGGGTGCGATGGGGCGGGGTAGAAAGCGAGGGTGCGATGGGGCGGGGCAGAAAGCAAGGGGGGCGATGGGGCGGGTAGAAAGCGAGGGCGATGGGGCGGGGTAGAAAGCGAGGGTGCGAGGGGCGGGGCAGAAAGCAAGGGTGCGAGGGTGCGGGGCAGAAAATGGAGGGGGGCGGGGCAGAAAGCGAGGGTGCGATGGGGCAGGGTAGAAAGTGAGGGTGCGATGGGGCAGGGTAGAAAGTGAGGGTGCGATGGGGCGGGGGCAGAAAGCGATGGGCGGGGCAGAAAGCGAGGGTGCGATGGGGCAGGGTAGAAAGTGAGGGTGCGATGGGGCAGGGTAGAAAGTGAGGGTGCGATGGCAGAAAGCGAGGGGGCAGGCAGAAAAGCGAGGGTGCGATGGGCAGGGTAGAAAGCGAGGGTGCGATGGGGCAGGGTAGAAAGTGAGGGTGCGATGGGGCAGGGTAGAAAGTGAGGGTGCGATGGCAGAAAGCGAGGGGCGATGGGGCGAATGAAAGCGAGGGTGCGATGGGGCGGGGCAGAAAGCGAGGGTGCGATGGGGCGGGGCAAAAATCGAGTGGACGGTGTCTTTGGAGACATGGCCCCTCACAATAAGAATGAATGTTTTTTAAGGTATTTTTGAGCAAGTAAAAACATACTACACAATCTTAGAACATCCGTAGAAACAAGCAACCCAAAAAGTTACGCAGTGCATCTTTAGACATTAGTGCGTCTTTATTAGGAATTGAAAAAGTCTCTAAACTTCTTATTGCTTTTGAATGGACGGAGCTGGCGTCTGTAACGGTACCATCACAATATTAAACAGCCTCGTCTCTCCTCCTCGTGTATTTCCCCGTTGTCTTCGCATTTGTCCTGGGTCCCATTGACTTTCTCCGTATCCGTGTTGGAGCTCGGAGGACACTTGTTTATCGCCACAATCGAACAATAGACGCGGAAAAAAATACAAATAAAACGGCAGAATAAACGAGCCTGACATTTGAACATGCGTCGTCACGGGTCCCAGGTTTGCGCGGCGAGCTTTGTTTAGCGCCTCGTGAATAGTAATGCGAAGCAACGCCGCGCCATCGGGGGATACTGTAATGTGTGGATGCATAATTAGAAAAGCCGGGGATGAGAGCGGAGTCATCTGCTTCGGTCTCCGAGGCCCGAGCACAATAATCACAACAGAAATCAGGCGTCGATCAAAGTCCTGCCCGGATACTCGCGCGAAGGATGGAAATAAGACGAGGCAAAGCAAGTTAAGCTTATTTGTATAAAGACTAGGACCTGACCGATATGGATTTTTTTGTGGTTGATATTAGGGATGGGCATTCGATTACATTTTATTAACGACCGATTATCGATCATTAACGTTTTTATATTAAAATGATCATCATTATTATTACTATCTGCACTAATCTGCATAAATAAATTCAACTTTACAATATATAAACCATAAACACTCTAGAGCCACATCAGCCCGTTTGACATTATAATGTGTTTAATGCAGATTTGCGCAAGTCTCACAGAAACGAAACTTAAAACCACATGGCTAATTTGCATAAATTAACCAAAGAAAAAATCTGCTCTTGTGTCGCTGATGTGGTTCAACTTCTGTCGGACTAAAGGACATGACTCAGTGGAATACAGGTTAGTGTGACCATATTTGCGTTTGTCAAAACCAGGACACCGTACGAGGGGTGGGAGGTGGGGACTCGTCATCGACTTTGAGCGACTCTCACCTTTTTAATGTTTTTAATGCACGGCCTCCCACTTGTCTCGACCGCGATGGAAAGCGGGGAATTTCTTGTACAAGTCATCGTTAAATGCACATTTGTGCTTCGTCATGTTGCAGACTGTTTGCATCTGTTTGCGTCTCGCTCCTTCTGAGTTACAGACGCTACGAGAGACGCTCAGTTTAATGGCCCAGTGAAAGGTAACGAAAACCTGAACATTTGCATCACTTTATAAAAAAAAAAAAAACCCGGACAGCCAGGACAAGACGTGGAAAACAGACATGTCCGGGGGAAACGGACATTTGGTCACCCTACGCTACGCACAACGACCTACATTCAGTTTGTCAATTAAAAATTAAAGTAATCAACGAAATTCTAAATGATCAATTATTGATTAATTGGCTAATCATGCCCATCCCTAGTCGATATACCGATTAACTGGGAGTTGGATATATTTAGTGATGTAAAAATTCACTGTAAATCTTGAACTTATTATAAAACTTAGGTCTGGCTCTATTGGATTTTAAATTGGGTTTATTTAGGCGACATTTATTGTTATTCTGCTTCTTTACGTCATATTTAAAGACGGTAGGTCGACCTAATGGTATTTTTGCATCACATTACAACCAATAAAGAAAGTAAACTACCATTGTTAGCCTTTAGTGGTAATTCTTTGTGCGCTACGGAAATTAATCATACAATTCACACTATTCACTATTCATTTACATATCAATGCAGGTCCAGTTACGCATATACAGCCACTAGAGTCACTTTACATGAGGACAATGTCAGAGAAAACAGGCGGTTTAAGTGTGGGAGCTCACAGCAGCTAATCACTAACCAATGAGAAAGAACAAGCTCCAAAACCGACACATTTGCAACACTCAGCGCTCATACAGACACCTCTCAGATCACAAGTCTTCACAAATAAGTGTCCTTTTAATCCAGACTCAAAACAGTCATCCATAAAAAGAATATAATCCAGCATGTTGGCAGCAGCTGCGTGTGTCCTCTTTTCTCCGATTCGCACTTTTATAAAAAACAGCAGTAGTTTTGTTTCTAGCCCAAACTGTGCTGAAGTTCACTTTTTTTTATCGTCAGTATCGTGGATCACTCTGATGTAAACAAGAACAAGACGTGACTCTGGTGGTGCGTTCAGGGGCAGATAAATACTGATGCAGAGCCACATATTAGGACATTTATCTGTCTGTAAATTAGATTACTGTATTTTCCTGGCTATTAGGCGCCCTCTTAAGCCTCTAACCCATCATAAAACGACCGCACGCCCCACAAGTCAGAGCGCCCCATACACGAATCCACTCAGGTGTCCCAGCACGACTTCAGTAAACTACAAAGCCACACCACCCGCAGAACACACAAACACACACGGAGCAGACAGCGACCGCACAGCGAAACACACCCACAGACACACTCATCACTCCACGCCGACGAGGAACGGAACGGAGGAACGAACCGAAAAAGCGAGCGCGATGTGCCGCTTCTAGACACGACTGAACAACTGAGTCACTGCGAACACGCCGACAATCCGTTGGTCCCAGACACACCCTCCCTACACGCCACAACTGAACAAAGCCCAGAGTCACCGTGAACGAACAAACAAACAAAACCACTCACCCATCACCAGTGTTGGGTTTCCTTTAAAGTCCCACGTGGTTTATTTGTGAAAAAAGTTCAAAAATAGACCATTTAATGACAGTGCGTCCGCATAATCCAGAGCGACTAATAGCCCAGAAAATGTGGTAAATAACGTTTAATTAACAGGAATGTAAAGGTAAATCAACAAAACAATACTAAATATATACAGAAAATAACCTAAACTAAGAAACAAAACAACAGACAACGAGTTTTGTAATAATCCTTATAATCCGGAGCGTATAATAGTGCGGAAAATACGGTAAATTTGATGTAAAATAGAGAGTCTACGCTTTATAACGAGCTATAACATGCCAACGTCGACTCTCGGCCCAGATCGACAAGATTTATTCCGATCACCGATATGTCACCCATATCAGCTGATTATATCGTCGGGGCCGAGGAAAGAGACGCATAAACTGACATTTGTTTAGGTAAAATACAGAAAACCTGCTCAAAAACGACAAAAACACAAATAAAATGCGACTATTCTGACTCACGTTAGTGCCGAGAGCAGAACAATTTTCCTTAATTACGCACTCGTTTCACAATTTCATTCATGACGAACATACGAGTCAGTAAGTATAGTCACATTTTCTTTGTGTTTTGGTCGTTTTTAAGTAGATTTTTTTGTATTTTACCGAAACAAATGACGATGTATGTCTCTCTTTATTGTTGGTAGGGATCGGATTGGTAAAAAATACAGAGACGAGGGACATTTCTTGTGTTAAACTCGAACGAATCAATGTTGTTGTTTTTTTTGATAAATCCACAGGCTCAAAAAACAGGGACCCACCCATAATAAAAGTGTTTTTAAACTCCACACCTTCGCTGGATTTGGATCATTTCAGCCCTGGAATTGCCAATCTCGACTGAACTAAAGATAAAAAAGGAGCAGTTCACTTAAACTACCACTTCATAACAGCATTTTGAGCTTTTCAGATGCGGAAATACGACTAATAAATGACAGAAAACGCAGCTCCGGGTCTGTTTCTGAGGAGGGAGCACCATTCGAACACGGCTAAAAGCTCGCAGGAGTTAATTCATCGTAATGTAGGACCTTTAAAATCTCCATCCCTCTCTTTCTCTCTCTCTGTGGTTATGAAGAGCCTGATTAGAATCCTCTGACAGACGGCTGCAGCGTATGTTAATTCCATCTGTGTGAGGAGAGGCAGAGCTCATCAGGATCTATGAAAGGTCAGAGAGAGGACTGGGGACTCTGGGCTCCCGGGTTCCTCTCTTTCGCTTTCTCTCTCTTTCTCTCTCTCCGCCTCTCGC